ACCCACTGGACTAATATAATTATAATACAACATTAGCTAAAATATAATTATGAATGCAATCCTTTACTATTTCAATGGCCATTATTTCAAGTACCTATATGAAATATGCAATATCTTTATCGTAGTAAAAAACTGAACTTAAATAATTTTTGAACAGTATCATTTATTTTATTATATATTATTTTTATTTTATTTTTTTAGCCTTTTTAAATAACATTTGAAATTCTTATTTTAATTTTCACATATCCATTTTAAATATTATTTTACTTTATAATTTTATGTATAACACGCTTTAAATTCTTTCATTACACTATTTTATTCAATTTGTATAGATACACATTTACAATTTTTAATTAAACTTTATTGTTTTTAATTTAAAATTAAGAAATTCTCAATAATTTCATTTATTTTATGGTTAAAATTGATAACGAAAAATGCGTCCTTTCCATTTAATATAACAATTTTCAGGTGTCTATTTGTGATGTTGCCAGCATTAAATGCCACATAATTTTTTTATTGAAACAATTATTTTTATAATTAAATTTAGAAGTAAATTCTTTTTTCTTTTATACTTATATGCTTAATCGAATTTATTGTTTTCTGCTTATCATTTAATACCTCAATTTCTTGAAGTTAATTTTTTTAATAAATTCATTTTTTTGAAGAATATTTCTTTAATATGTGTTTATTTTTATTTAACAAAAACTAAACAAAAAATATTTATTTGTGCATTATTTGTGTATTTATTTATTTCTTAATATTACTGAGTCTTCTTTAATTTAGTTTTTTGTCTTCAAATGTTTACATTTCAAAAAAACAAAGCGGAGATCCTTTAATATTCACCATTCACTGTTTACATTAAGAAACTGAAAACATACAAATTAATTATAAACAAACTTTTTGAATTTAATATTTTTAAAGTTTATTTTCAGTTTAGACTAAGGATCAACGTAAATTATTCATATTATTTTTTTTAGTCAGTACTGTGATTTAATTTTTTTTTTTTTTTCTGATAAAAATATTTCAACTTCGAATATTGTAGGGATTAATAAACTGGAATTTAGAAAAAATTTAGAAAATAAAAACCTATTTTAGAATTGTGTTTAATGCTGAAGTGTATCCTTCCAAAAAAAATATTTCATACATCATACCACATTTTTCTGTCATTAATCTCTAAAGTAAACTATATTTTTTATCGAATTAGAGAAATGCGTTACCTAATGAAGTATTACTTTCTTCTATAATTTTTATCGTTACATACAAATCCAATGATTTTCCGGAGTCCTCACGCGCTGTAGAACTGGATGAAAAAGTTCTGCATGCACTTAGAAGAAACCTCAGAATAGTATAAGATATTTGAACACAGACATAATATTTACTATTTTTAAACAAACAGACTTGCATTGGCCTATTTACACTATCATGAACATAAGATTGTATACGAGTATGTATGCGTGTCAAGGTGAAAAAACGCAGCAAATTTCATTACTTGAAATTCATGAACTCACATCACACTCTCTTCCCTCTCTCATCTATCGGTTCATGATAGTGTAATTCGGCCCATTCATATCAGCTCACATAGGTAATATATAATACTGTTATGTAGAGAAAGAGAACATTGCCCCAAATTTGACAAATGACCAATGAAATAAAATATTGAATCTTCGAGACCCGGACCAATAAATCAAAATTAACAAAAGACAGTACTAGAATTTCCATAATTTACATCATTGGAATACTAAAAACCGCATGCTTAAAAGTAAATACCTTTTAAACAGCTTAAATTTATTTTAAATATATGGTGCGAAGTTCATTATAAAGGACTAATTAGATCACTTATATTAACTTATCTTTTCAAAGAAATCCTTTTCGAAAAGTAACATATTATGAAATATCAACATATCTACTTGTCACAGAATAGCTAGACAATTATTTTCCTTTTTGCTAGATAGGTGCAACTAGACTAATGTATTCCAGCAGAAATACCAGTGATCGTAACTTTCGAGTTTTTGTGAGGTACGCAATTAAGGAGTTAGTATATTCAACTATGAGTTAAAGGAATTTACATATATATTCAACATTAATAACAACTATATAAGATCCGTAAAGTAAGATGGAGTCAGCAACAGTAAAAATAAGAATAATATTGGACACCACGACGAATTTGATAATTGACATCATACAAAAATTCTTTAACTTACGCGTAGAGACCACTTTTTACAATGATTAATATGATGATTAACAGATGTAAGATTATTGTACTATAATGAAGCTTGGATAATAAGATTTTATTATATTTGTAAAACCTTGTGTTATATTTTATTAAAGTTCATAAGATTTTAGAGATGTGGTGATTTATATGACAGCATTGTTTTTTCAGAGAGACCTTTCTTTGATATCGTGTATTTCATGCACCCCTTGAAATATTTGATATATATAATATGTCATATGATTATAAATGCATAGTTTAAACAGAATTAATTGATTTTTTGGCTGATCATACAACTGTTTCGAATATTGCTAAATACCTATCATCAGTAGTATTGTGAAAATGTATATTAATAGTCCGTAAATAATTTTTGTAATTATATATTATGTGTATATATGGGGTAAGTTATAAAGTCATTATAAATAAAAGTTAATATATTAAATTTTAACAAATACAAATTGAATGTCACCCGTAACTAAAAGTTTTGATATCACCAATTTTTAATATCCAGTTTTTTAATCTATACTATATTGAAGCAAAATAATTTTTAAATTCAAATAATTTTTTCCTTTTTAACCTGTCATGTATATATATATTCTATATTTATACAATATTTTATTGTATTTAGTATACACCTTTTATTCTCACACTACTTTGAAGCAAGCATTTCGCTGTAAGGATTTTTGTTTAATTATTTACAATAATTTGATTTTCTTAAATACATTTATATATATATATACAACTCATATAGTTTTACTAAATAGTTTTATAAAAATTATTAACTAGTTTCATGTAGAAAAGTTAACTTAATTGCATTACAAACATTCACACTTGCATTAAAATACTTCAGAACATTATAACGAGTTTATCAGTACCACTTACCTAATGAGTAAATGAAATTATATTTAAAAGAAATTTAACCAAACTTATATATACGTATATTATATAGAAAGTATATTATTCTAGTACATTTTTGCTACTTTGAAATCATCTTACATCCAATACATTTATTTGCATTATTTTATCTTGTAGACTCTCCAGCTCAACACCGTGAGATGAATATCTAACTTCATAGTATACCTGTAGTATTTTTAACTTCTTAATACTAAGACAATAATTTTCAATTAATAACTTATTAATTTTTTGTATAATTGTATTATTTTTACATGTGAAAATATTACAAATTTGCTGTGCAAAAATTGTTTTCTTCTCAATTAAGTATTCTGCAGAATATCTTTTTCTATATAAATTTTTTAGTGCTATAACGAAACTTAACAACAGGCTTAGCACTCTTAACAGGCATCTTCTCTCTCTGCTCCAACTGCTCTGGATAGTTGCATGTATTGTCTGGCATATACTGAAGTAAATAAGTAAATTAACAGGTACACCGCAATATAGTGACTTTGAGACATTCGATGATACGTTGGGCCCGCGCGCTGCATTGCTGCTGGGAACTCCCCTAGAAACAGAATGAGAAACACCTATTTAATTTACATCTTTTATGCTGTTCCATAACTATGAGATTGGATGTAAAAACCAAAATTTATACAAAAGATACAAAAGTAAATGATATTCAAATTTGTTAATGCATTATAGTAAAGATATCACAAATGATAAGTAGTGCATTTTTGTGTATTTAAAAGTCTTTATTCTTATTTTTTAAATTAACTAAAATAAAAAAAAAACAAACAAAACGTTATTATTTTAAAAGTCAAACTTTAGTAAAATATTTTATTTTCTTCAAGAGGAAACAGATTGAAATCTTTAATAGAGCTATACTTATAAATTTTGGTGAACGTATTCAGAATAATTCGTAAGACTGAATTGAATTAAATATTATTCTATATGAGTTCAAAAACAAATGTTAAAGTTGAATCAAACTGTTAAGGTTTGCTATAAACCGAACTATGCCTGTGATCTGGAATTAAGAGGTATGTCAATAGCCTTATGCTTTTCCAGTATAGCTTACGAGATTCTCTTCAGTGATCAGATTTTGTAGGTTGTAATTTACTATTGTCTCTTTTAATAGTAATAACCTGCTATCATAATAGTACACCCATTATGTAGAAACCGTGATAACGAAGACTAAATATTATTCAAAGTGATTGGTCTGTAATCATGCAGGAAGACACTTGTTTAAAGAATTGTTTGAAATAAAATATAAAAATAAATTATAAGTATTTATTCAAAAGTAGGTTTTAGAGACATTTCGAACAGTACTAAATTGCAATACAAAAACTTTTATTTATTTTTAATTAATTGAATTTTTGGCTGACCATACAGCTATTTCGAGTATTGCTAAATACTCATCATCAGTAGTCTTAGAATCTTTTCTTATATTAAATTATTCGTTAATAATATTTGAGACTGCAAGTACCAAGGGCTCTGCCAAATTTGAAGCTCAGAGTCAGTATTCATTAGTCAACCGACCCAAAGCCATACTTGACTCGTATGTTCAAATTTGATGTTTTGTATTAGAACTCACTATTATATATAATAGTTTCTTTTAAGTAAGATAGTCACTGCCGTCATAACTAATGTTAAAATCAAATTTAAGTGAGTTTTATTATTATATTAATAATTGTATTATATATATTAAATAATTTTTTAATGTAATATTCAAAAATAAAATCGCTCAATTAAATTTCTATTCAATTTTTTTTTGTTTTTGTTATTTAATAATATTTTTTAATTTTTTCAACAGTAAATAGTGAATAAAATTTGTAGTAAACTATTTCTTGGATGTATTGGTACCGTCACGATACAAAATTTCATACCTACAATGTAAAAAAAAAGAAATCACGGGAGCCTTTTCAAATATACAACTTAATTAACAGTTAATTAACGTCTAAAAAATTTGCATAATTTTGACACTAATTAAGATGATCGATAGCGTGTCTTTCTTAATTTTTCTCGGGCCACCTTTGTTTATTGTATGCTCGTTTTAAATCTTATATTTTCTTCTATCTTATATTTGTTAGGCAAATATCCTTTATTATAAATATTATAATATCTCTTCTTATACATATTATAAGAAGGAATATAATATTTCCACAGCTATTTTATACTTACCATTTAATACATGCACTGTAACACTCCTTGGTTTAGCATTCGATGGATTACACTGATAAAGACCAGAATCTGAAGTGCGGGCTGATTTGATCAGTAGAAATGAGGTGGTTATATCACCTTTATTAGTGACTACAGACACGCCTCCACGGGGAGAATCATAGTTGATAATCTGGAATATAGAAACCGACATAAAATTTTTATACATTGAATATTGGAAATACTATTGAAATTAAAAATATTATTTAGATATATTTTTATAATAGGGTCTAGCTTATATGTAATACGAATATAAGATATTTTATGAATTACTTTCATATAGTATTATACCTGAAATAATATAGGTTTATATTTTTTAAACATATTGTTGATTTATTATACTATATACTATACTAATATATTATCATATACTACACTAATATATTTGCGATATTTATACTATATATGGTTATACTACCCATATGTATTAAATATACTATATTGATGAAACTTATATCTAATTGAATGGTTACTTGTCCTGACACTAATATTTTTTAAACGGTAGTTATAAACAAATTTAAAGGTACGTGGTGATTAAGATTTCTCATTACAAGTGTTCCAAAGAAGTTAGGAAGAAATTCTTAGAAGTGAAGTTCAATTTATTTTTGTGATAATTTTTGTAATAATACTTGTCCTTATACTGAGATTGACTTAAATTTATGTTATGTATAATAACATAACATTATCCCGATTTAATACTATCCCGAAATTTAATACTATATATATTTAAAAAAACAGATTTTTGATGTATATTTATAAATGTATCTGTCTTACTTGCCACGTAATGAAGTCTTTTAGTGAAATTTAGATTGCAATGTATTCAATTACTTCTTATTGTGTATATTTTTATTGAATTTGTCTTTAATTCTAAATTTTCAAAAGAACCTATTATTAGTACTTTGGCTTCAGATATGCTAGTAGGATTTTGCCTTTGAGGGATTATAAATAACAATTATTATGAGAAATGATGACAATAAGATACAATTTGTATCTTATAATGTAGTTTGATTTATAAGATATGGAAATTTTTCAATTTAATTTAACAATAAAAATTTAATTTATATTCGTAAATTAATATGTTGCATATTTAGGAATTATAAAAATCAGTTACAATAAATATGTTGGACCTTATAATATATCAGGTTAAATCAGCTTGTGACAGTAATCGTAGACATATAAAACATAGCTCTCTATTTGCGCAATGTATTATCGTACAAAATTTGAATGACTTAAAACTATTTGAGTAGGGATCTTGTAATCTGAAACCCACTAGAAAATAAGTTCTATATTTAATCTATGTTCTGCATGAGAATCACAGAGTGAATGTGAAGCAGTTCTGTCGTCTTTCTTAGAGTTGCGATAACAATTAGTTTTTGTTACGTTTATGTAACCACAGTTGAAGAAACCTACTATAAGATAAATAATTTCTGAAGACCCATATTTATATATATAATTTATGTTTATTTTTTCTTTTATGAAAACCATTAAAATCTTTTCAATATTGATATTTTTTTGTTTTCCGTACTTTTACTTTTATGTACTTATACTCTTTCTCTAATATAAGTGCATTAAATTTTTATTGGATTAAATATTTTATATTGTTGCTTTAAGCTTTTAATAAAATTTCTAAATTTCTTTTAAATGCTATTCATTAAATTTTTCCTTTATTATTTCATTGTGTTTTATTTCTCGATATATTCATTTCTGCACAGGAACTTTATTTGAATTGCTCTTAGCATATACCACTTAAGCCCTAATAAAGCCTTATTAGTTCAGTTCATAAGACTTAGAAAGGAATGTAAGCAGCACAAATAAACTACAACAATGTTCCCAAATCCAGCTAAAAACATACAAGTGCAATACACAAAAGGTCCTTTAAAATGTTATTTGTTCCTTATAATGGAAAGCAAAGCAGTACGAAAAAAACTAAATTTCCATATAAAAAGGTAAAACAATAAAATTTAATCTATTTAAGGATTTTCAGAACTAATGGTTTTTATTTTGTATGGCAAATTATTTCTTTGTACCAAACAAAGCCTTGAAAACCGGACAAAATAATATCAGAAAAGATCCTAAAAAATCATTCTAACAATTAAATAAAATTCTTTTACCTCTTCTTGCAATTTTCTTATAAAATAAACTTTAAAACAAACTTAAGCAAAGTATTTAAGGATTTGTATATGTGGATTATAACGCAACCCTCTAATTCTTAAAGTTTTCTACAATAAGAAATTATTTCTCCTTTAACTAATTTATTTTATTTAATTTCTAAGCTTTTAAGTAGATGAATTTAAATTCTTATTTTTCCTTTAATCTTTTTATTTAAAATACATATTCCATTTCTGTAATTTGAATCATTGTTTAATATTTAATATATCGAATTTATATATATTCCACTCACTGCGCTATTGTGATTCCAATATATGTAAGCTGGCGGTTCCGGTGAATTCAAAATGACACATGTCAGATTAATCGTTGAACCGCTTTCTATGTATAAATCTGGTGCACCAACAATTTCCGTTGACGGCTCTGCAAATAATTGTTTTAATATTTATTTATTTATTCATTTATTTATATGTGATTAATTATAAATAATTGCACACCTCATTAACATTGTTAATTAGGCAATTAACTTACCAACGACATTCAAATGTATATAATGGCTCATGTGCGGCGTTGTCGATACCTGGCATTCATAAATGCCGGAATCGCGGTGTTGTGGATATTTAATTTGCAAAAGCCAGTCTTCAGTTTGTGGTTGATGTATAGCACGGAAACGTTGATCGGATGTGTAGGTGTAACGTCCCACTGTGAGCAAATGAATGTCCCGATGGCGCACCCAGGATACTTGTAATAACATCTGCATGACATGTAACATACAATTTAATATTTATTCAACAAACATTCACTAACTTATAAATAATATTATTTACATATACTTGGATTTATGCTTTCTTTATATAAATTAAATTTCAATGTAATTACATTTAATATATGTACGTATAGTGACTTTCATGACAAAATGTATTGTTAAAAATTGACGTTTTTAGGTAAAGTATACTGGGTGATTTTATTAGTATTTTTATGCTTACATTATAATTAATAAGCTAATACAATTAATAACCACAGAAACCTGTCAAAACAAGTGTGGACTTGAAAGGAGACATCTTAAATTACATATCTTTTCTAATAGCAGTTCTGCGATGACATCACTTGTGTAAAAAGTTATATAGATTTAAAAATAATACGCTATATGATTGTTTTTTACTTTAAACGAACATTAAAAAAAAAATTATAGGGTTTACGATGGTGAGTTTTGAATGAACGCCAGATCCATTATTTATTTACACGATTTTCTTCCGAAAACCTCGTTATCAAAGTTGCACCTCCTTCTAGTCGCCCAGGCACTAAAAAAGTCGATGATACCTCGAAATAAATTGACGGAACTTGCTTTGAAAAATTTGGTGCATCCAACATATAACTAGACTGATTTTTCGTCGATAACTACAGATGTTCTATACTAATGGAATTAGAAAGCTATTCGAAAAACTCCACAGCTCATAAATTATAATGGGTAATTAATGGGTAATTGATTTTAAATAAAGAAAATGTTTATTCGAAAATATATAAAAGGACCTCAAAGCACATACCTATATATTCTTAAACAGCTCAACGAGTTGAGTTCTTTTAACACTGTCACTTTGTCTGTTGCAACGCAAAGCAGTCCCTTAGTTTTTAAGATATTCTAATGAAACTTTGCATTAATACTTTTTGAGAGTGGACCTTAACCATTTGTTAAACAATCGATTATAAGTTTAATATGTTTTTAATAAAAATATTCCAATTAAATTTAATGCGGAATGTAATTATGTTCATATAAAATAATGAATATAATTTTATTCATATCGATTGAGATTTTATATTTAGACACATATTTTTGTACTTTACATTTGGAACTTCAGCATAACTTATTAAATACAAGCAATGTTGTAAAAATTGTTTAAGATCGGTTGATCGGTTTAGATTTCGATATATCTAACTAGCACACAAACCAGCAATTGAAGAACATGTATTCCTTAGAAAATTTTTTTTATTTACCCATATATTAACTACTAATTCAGAATTTAGTTACTTGCTACAGAAGAGAAAATTCATGATAAATATTATATCGATAGATTCAGATTTGAATATAGCTGCTCTACAAATTATCAAATTCATCGAATTCATCTAATTTTCTATAATACAACTCCCATCTACACCAACGCTCATCGAAATTTAAGCGTGCAAAAATTTTTAAAGCAGCTCCTATTAGTGTTATTATATATTATATTATATATATTTTATTATAAATTACATAACATATACATTTTCACATATTTATTATATTTATATATAAATATAGTATGTTATAATGGCCGTAATTTTTTTTCAGAGTTGTAAAAAACAGCATTAAGTCTAGTTGAAACAAATTGGCATCACTTTTAAACATTTCTTTTGACGTATGTCTTTTTTATGTACAATATAAAATATAATTATTTGAAACAATATAAATTACTTAATTTAAATAAATGAAAACTATAATATATGGGCAGTGGTAAGTATTTTTTATCTAATTGTTCTGATACTCATATATTGCAATTTGTTATTATTTTTGCTTATATGATTTTAACAAATGCCTAAATTTTCGGAACATATTTTCAGTGATCATTCACAATAGACTGATTTTTGAATTTGGCAGCACTGAAACTTAAGACTTAAGATTTTTTGCGAGTAAAACCTTGCTCTGAAGATTTTAAGAGTATTATTGTTGCAATACACATATGTTCTTTCGTTGCAGCTTTTTTTTTGCTACTCTGAAAGAAAAAATTACGGCTAATGTACAATAAATGAGACCTTAATGATTCAAAATGCTGTGTTGAGGATATCTAAGCGTTTTAAAAGCTAAATCTAATATACCATATTTACTTGTTTATTTTGGTAAATGAAATATATCTTTAACATATGCATATTACTGTTAGTGCTATTTTTATTTTTTATCATCTGGAGAAGGTGTGAGTGAAGTCAGAGAGGTTAGTAATTTTTTATTTGCATCTCACAGTTATTGAATTTAAAATTAAATAAAGGTTTTTAAGCCACGAAGAAGAAAAAAAATCCTACAAGAAATATTTTCTAATATTAATTGTAGCCTGAAAAGGTATGAAGAACGTATATCTAATATAACTTGAAACACCCTTTAAGTTCAGTAGCTACACTTGTACCTACGTACTTTATTAAATTTATGCGCTTACGTTTATTTACATACCTAAATCTATTGTGTGGCACTGTCAATTGTATTAAAATTCAAAACAATTGTTCACAATTTTGTATTAAATCAACAACATTGACTACACGCGGTATTGACATATCGTTATGTCGCTGTCAACCGCATTTGCCGACAGCTACGTCATTGCATGTCAAATGCAAATACATGAATATAAACATATATACACGTTAATCTAGATCCCCACATGAATGGTTAAGTATATGTTTTCATTAAAGCAAATCTTAAAAAAAGATGCTTTAAGCAATTCATTCTGAATAAACACAGAAGTCTTCAATCATAAAGAAATTGCGAATTTCCATTGCAGGCTCAAGACAAATTACGCCGTCCTAAGACTATGAATATTGTGGCGAAATTGTTGCTCCGCCTTATGTTGCAACAATTTGATTTGAAACATCGCTATGTTGTCAGGTAACAATGCCTGACAACTTGACAACAACAACTGCAACAATATTTCTATATACACACGTCTAAATAATTCGTTATTTTATTCTTTTTGTATTTTTATATTTTTGTATTACTAACATTTCACAGCTGTGGCCATTTTGTTCACTTTTTGCGAAAGTTGCCAACAACACAAAATATGTTGCCACAAATCGTTTCATTGCAACAGAACAAAAGTAAAATAAATAAAAAAAAATTATTACAACAATTTAACTGACAGTTACTTTATAATTTGTTGTGGTACATACACGTGTACACTCCAAAGAAAAGTACACACAGTCCCATAAGGAAGGGAATCGCAAACTTTTCCAAAGGAATAATTATCACCTGCCAGAGTTGTAAGGCAAGAAAGTCTGAAAAATATGCGGGTTGCATGTTTTTAAAAAAGTTTTCCTTACAACAACTAATTCGAAGTTTAACCAAAGCAAGTTGGTTTCTTTGGAACATAAGGTAATAATTAAGTATATAACAGCTCCAAAACGGAAGGAGTTAAGCTCGTTGAGAGTGTGTGCATGTTACTTATCATGGAAACAATAGCATAGGAAACCAATGGATTTTGTAGGATTTTCAAAGCTAAACCAGTTTTACAAAACTTTGTCAAAGTTTCTCCAAATTTTTCCATTTCTTTTAATGAGAGTACAAAATAAAAAAAAAATTATGGGTGTTATAAACAAAGACGGAATATATCAATATTATCATAAGTAATAAAAAATTAAACTCTAAAAAAAAACACAATAATAAAAGTATTTACCAAAAAACAATTTTTATATTTTATATTAATAACTATAATAATAATTATTTCATTATTATTATATATTTTTTTGTTAAAGTTAAATAAGAAAACTCTGTTAAATATAATAGGTTTTACTGACATATCAATATGTTTGTTGGTTGATTCATCTATACTTAATGAGGGAGTCTTGCCATTGGCGTTGTTCGATACAATTTTGGAGCAACTTGTAACTATTTTTCTTCTTTGTCAATTAAGCAATAAGTTTTGTAAATTGAACTTCGACTGCAGATAAGGAGGGTTATACCGTTTACTAGTTTCTATTTCGACTGTCATAATTGTTTAGATGTATTATCAGATATGTTTAATGCATTTATTAATGAGTCATATATGGGTAAGTAGGTAGGTAGATAGGTCGATGTCGTTAATTGCAAGACATTTAAGTCTATTGATATGACTGGTTCCCAATTCCTATTGGGCGAATTTTGCAAAAAGCTGCACAGTTACTGAGTAGATAGTCAAGTTTGTGCTCTTCGTCAATATACACTTGAAAAGATTCTAAGTATAGCTGCGTGTTTATCTATCAGACTGTGACCTGTTATCAGACCCTTCAATACTGCAAAATCATACCTACAAAGCCAACTTAGATATTTTATATTTTTTTATCGTTCACTTCTGGCCATACAATATGTGATTGTTTTTGTAAGTAAAAATATACTTCCACCTACGATACACTAGTTATTTCAAGCTAGTTTTTCTTAAAGCAACCGTAGATGATCTAGATTATGATGATGTGGATTATTTGTATTATATTATTATTGTATTATAGATTATTTGTATTGGGAAAACACAAGCAATAATGTATTTAAAGTATAAAAATGTTAATAATGTCTGAAGAAGATCCAACATAATGACTAATATCTGATTAGAATTTATTCATTTCTCTAAGAAAATAAACAGTTTTGTACCACAAATAGACTTGGATTTTAATTATTAGGGACACCGCCTTACACAATTGGATCTTGAGTGACGTACACGTTTCATAAAAAACATAATTGTTGCAGCTGTTAATATCAAATTTTTTCAAAAATCGTTAATATGTCACAAAAATGTATTGTCATGTTTTTGTAGAGAACAATATTTCAGCAAAAATTCATGATTAAAATTTTAACGGCACGGATAATACTGGGAAATTTTGATATTATGTTTAAAACCATAAAACAAAGGTTTATGCAAAAATCTAGCCTTACTCTAATTTTCCCGCAATGCAAAGTCAACATTTTCTTGTTTCATTTTTTAAGTTTTTAATTAAAAGCATTTTAAAAAATTGTTTGTATTTAAAAATTCAAGTAGCAAAACTTTATTTTGTGATATTTCATAAAAGCCATTAATACAATATCATCTAAAAGATTCTAGCGCACTAAAACTTCATCTTTCTCCCTAACAAAGACTAAGCATACTTAAGCAGTACACAACTTATCGGAGTAATATTAAACATATTTTCATTTACAAATTTACCTTTTTACACCCACCTAATGTCTATACCCATGCTCACGAGGTATGCTTTTGCTTTCCTACCGCATTACTAGAAATCCATTAATAATGCCCACAAAAACGGGCATTTCCTGTTTGTGTACACATAAAGAAAGTTAAATCTGATAGCAAATGTCGGACTTAATGTAATCCAGAGCAGAATTTCGCTTTCCTATCGCTTATTAATGTATTGTAATGTGCTCCCCACATTTCCGGTCAAAAGCAAAATAAAATAAATTCCTTCACCTATGAAATGGAAATTACGAAAGGCTACAAATTTGAACGGATCAGATCCACTATACCTATATGAAAATTACAGGCTGAGGTTATTTGATTAACTTTTTGTTATTGTTTTTTATGAAACTTTTTAACAATTCACCTTTTGCATGTTTAAAGTTTATTTTATTTTCTTTTATTTTGAATTTTGTTTTTATTTCCAAATTTGTTTTTTTTTTCAATTATTTATTTTTTTCTAGTTGCCTTGTTTTATATAATTAATCATGTCGGCGTAAAAAAATATGTTCGCCTTACAGGACCCAACACAGAATTTAATTATCATAATCAAAAGAGAAATGAAGGGACAAAGTTCTGTAATTAAGTGGAAATTCACTTCGTTACTGTTGTTGTGATTTAAGTCATTGAGGGGCAGAAAAATGAGTTTTTTTCAACTTTTAATTACAAATTAATTATTGTGCAAAACTTACAGTTTTATTGCCGAGATTTTTTACGCGACAATTTAAATAGGCCGTCTTGCCCAGCAGCGCCGTTACATTTTTAGAAGCTGCCTTATCGAAGTACGGCCCATTACGTGCATCGTCCGTTAAATCGATGGAATTGCGATTTATGCCGGAATTTCCTGTTAGAATGTTGCTACTGCTACCTTTTTGCAAGCTACCGCTGGCGATGGAGATGCTACTGCTGCTAGCACTTTTTGCTGCTGATGCTGATGTTGATGTGATTGTTGTTGCATGTAATGTTGTTGTTGTTTTTGTTGTTGTTGTCGTTGACCATTTTCCATTGTTTGTGCGATTTGATGAACTAAAAATACCTACATTGCTTGTCGTACTCATCTCAGCATTGCTGTTGCTATGCTTCATGTTGTAATCGCTGAATGCATTGCCATTGTTGGTGTTTCCGCTGTTGATATCATTAATATTGGTGACAATATTTCCATTACTTTTTGGTGTGTTGTGCCCATTATTACTTATGCTATTAGGATCCTTTAATTTGAATGAATCTCTCTGGGCAGCAGAAACTAATTTGAAATAAAAATGAAAGAAGAAACTATTTTAAAAATAGAAAAATAACTGAATTTAAGGGTCAATTTCACATTAAATTGAATTGAATTCAGTAGAATCCATGACTTAAGTTTAATTTAAGTGACTATTGAGACTTAAGTCATGGATTCTACTGAATTCAATTCAATTTAATTTAGTTTTGACTCTAAATTAAATAAGTTTTGAGACGTTATTGAGTAAAATTGGTCCTTATTATAATTATTCTTTATAAAAACACTGAACGTTTATAAATAAATAACCCATAGAAAAGTATAACTACATTGAAAACCCTCATAAACGGCTTCCGATTCTGTTTGGTTAAGATAACATTTCATTAAAAAAACATACTTTGTATAAAAAATAAAAATATTGAGAGCAGTCAGAACTAACAGTTAAGTAAGATCATGTGTTCTATTTAATATAGAGCACTGTAATTAACAATAATTACAATAATTAATATACTATTATCATAAAATATCGCATCAACCTTATTAAAAAACCGTAATATATTATATATGAAAATGAATATATAACACTATTTAATCAAGATTATTATTTAAGATTATAATTAAGACTATTAATTAAGGCTATACATAATGGGATCGATGGTCCTGTTTAAGGGATGCTATTTCAGTAACATATGTCAAACAAAAACTTTTACTAAATCCTCGTACATTTAGTTTAAGGTATGCAGTTCTATACTGTGGATCGTTCAACAACCGCTGAATTTGAAAACTCAAATTGAAGAATGTTAATGATTTTCCTTATCGAATTTTCTTTGGTGATAAGGTTTATTTTTCGGCGGTTGTTACGTTAAAGAACAAATTTATTGCAATTAAGATAGCGAAAGTCAACAAGAAATAGTCGACAGGTTACTGCATCTGCAAAAAATCACTATATAAAATAACATCTGGTCTGAGAGTTTAATAGGCTCGTACTTCTTTAATAATAAAGAAGGTTCAGTGATTTTCAACAAGAAGTTGCATTATGAAATCGGTTTTGATACTTTTTTAATTTGTAATTTGCTACTGTTCTATGGACTTTCCTAATGAAATACAACATACGACTATACGACATAAAAAGTTAATTTTGAGCGCTTTAACTAATAAATACCAATTTTTTACCATGAAATTAAATATATGTATATAAATAACAGATACTACAAGCTACACAACTAGTCCTGATTTGGCTCTATTATCGTGAGAAAGTCCCCGGATATGTAATTTCACGTTTCAGTGATGTAGGTTATGAATAATATTGTTTCTGCTGACAATTCTTAAACTCTCAATGCTTTAAGAAGGAACATACGTCAAGTTATAGCTGCGCATTTGCTAGCTATGTATTGATCAATTGTCAAAAATTGCCTTAGAAGAATCCAGTACTACAAGATGCCCCATAGAAGACATGGAAATGATGCTGCATTTTATATCTAATAGAAACACAACTTTATATAACATGAAAAATATATAGAAATAAAATTTAATAGGAATTTCTATAAGTGTGTGCGTTTTTATACATTTGCTTTCTGAAGAACAAAATGGATGAATAACTTCTCAACAGATTAATAAATAATAGTTAAAAAATAATAAATTGATTTAAATTGTACAATAATTCTCATTTTGTATAATAAAAAAACTTTAAAATTTACTTGAATTGATTATTTTCTCAATTTTTTGTTATTAACATCTAAGGAGCTAAACCAATTTGTCTATTTTATCTGCACATATGTAACCGAATTACCATTGATTCTTTATAAAAATATATTAACAAGCTTTGTTCATACCCTGGAAAAAAATAATACTTACCGGTATTCTCAGTTATCACAGCTATCACAACAATTATCATAAAAAGCATTTTTAATGCAACTCCATACGACTCAATTCTTCTCTTTAATATTACATTCCCAAAAATCCTTTCGCATATCGAATAAATATATCTGTCTCGCTCACATTGCCCAATGCGCTTATAACTCAAAGCATTCCTCTCACTCTCACAAGCTATTTTATTTAATATTCTTTGGTGGATAGTAGCCTTCTTAGTCTTGCACAAAAATATACCGAACTGTGGTTCGCCTTTCAGAGTAGCCATACTATTTTTGATAGTACTATCGGACTTACTAGTTTCGGCTACTCTTCTGAGTAGCCTAATAAATTCTATTTATTCAATATTATTTATTTTGTTTGTATGTAGTTGATGATTTGTTTCGTTAACATCTAAATACATCGGAATGGATAAGTGATTGTGTTTCATTTTAAATCGATTTATAGTACTTTAACTGGCAGTATTCTTCTTAGGAGCTTATAAGTTATTTGCATATCAGTTTTGTTTTTTATTTTTTAATTTATAAGTTATTAGTTTTATTAGTTTTTGTGCGTTTTATGTATCGTTCAGTAGTATAAATTCGAATTTCAAAATAAAGTTGTTACTCCATACTACATATGGCTGAATTAAACTTTCCTTTCAGTCACTTGATTGTCCTTAAAATCTGAAAAGGAAAAATTTGTTTTATTTCTTGAAGTACAATATAATTAATTATTGATTTATTCAGTGAATCAAATTATTTGTCATATTTAATAAACATGGGCTTCAAATATTAGTATGTAATTTATTTTATATAGACCTTTATAAATATAATGATAATAAAGATTTCCTTTTAGAAATCTAAAGAAACAATTTTGAATATAATTTTTTTTGTAGAGATTTTAAACAAATTTACTAATCAAAAGTAAAGAAATATTGTTTTAAATTATTTTCCCCGCCCCCATGTGCCAGCTATTTTACTTGACAGGCACTTAATAATTCTGAATATCGAAAAAATTGTTTTTTCTGTGCCCACCCAAGTAGTACAAAAATCTATTCCATGAAACACAACGCATCTATTTTTGTTGTAGTTTAAGAATAAATTATTTTATAATTTAATTTACAAACTTTTCAAAATAGACAGATATATTTTAATGAATACTAAAAGTGCTTAACAATATTTATTAAGTTGTTAGTCAAACTTTTAGAAGGGCTTGCAAATTGCAAATAAAGTTAATTAATTATTTTAATAGCTAAACTTAATCAAAGATAATTGATTAATTATTGAAAAACCAATTTTTAAAAGCTTTTGCTTTTTTTAATTTTTTAATTAATTAATTAAGTGAAATCAATTTACTACAGTGCGAAATTGATATTTACTTACGTTCATTATTTCTCAATGAATTTAATATTTGCTTACATTCGTGCCGATGCATATACTTATGCAATAAATATAGAATAGAATATAGAAAAAATGGAAATATAGAAAAAATATAGAATAACCAGTACATGATACATATAAACACCTCTCTCAAATATGTGGTGTTACTAAAAAATTTCATGAAAATTTTAATATGAAAAATGTTTCTACGAAATTTATCGGCAAATAATTATAGTTACTTTAAAACATCAAATTTTCCAAATATTAGGTTTATTCGGCCATTTCGAAGTCCTAAAGTTTCATATGACTAAAGAGTTCTTAACACATTATATGTATATAACATATCCTTTCCTTTGTTCTGTACTGTTTAGAGTGACGATTAATTATTTCGACTTTACAACTATAAGATGCACAAATTCATCTTCCTATCCCAAATATAGAAATATAATTTTTATCAAAAAAAAATGACTGACAGTGAAATAAAATTTCATAATTCGAATGCTGTAAGACATCTGTCTTGTAAGTCGGTTTGAGTCTTCCCTTCATATGACTACCTAGAGAGTTGTGATAAAAAAAATAGGTGGTTTTGAATCACATCACGATTCATAGGTTATCATAGGAAGGGTAGAATCAAACCGTCTGACAGGATATAAATTTTTTTGTAGATTGCAAATAGCGTGATAGTAATAGCTAATGGGGTGTTAAGAACCCCACCCCAGAACTAATAAGCATACCGGGACTGCCATTGTGCCATAATATGCAGCCAAAACCACATCAACACCTTCAAGGCTGACAAAACAACTTGTATAAATAGAATCTCTGTATATATTAGGCGTGATCCTGTAAAATTTTCTATCAGTTGTCAAATAAATTTTAGTTTATTATTTGTAAATATTTGGTTTATGGAACTTATTTTTTCAGTTTAAATATTTTTAAAAGTTACAAACTAAATCTAATATCGTTTACGATTGATAAATCTGGATTCAATCTAGATTTACTCTCGACTTGTCAAACTTGCCCAATCGAATATTTTTGTAGTAGTGATATTAGATATTTATATTTTTCATAAATACATACTTGAAAAACTAATACATATTTCTATTAGTCTAAAGACACTTTCCAAACTAACTGGGGAAGTAAACTTTTTTCTAACCCAATTCATTTCTGGTCATGGATATTTCCAAAAATATATTTTCTGTATAGACAAAGCAAATAATACCTTGAAGTATTCCAAATAAAGTTCCGGGTTAAAAATGGTCTGGCGCACAAAAAAAATTGTTTTTAGTTCGGACAAATTGGGCATAACACTATTGTGACGTCAAAGTGACAATATGTTAGACATTTTTGAACCTCCTCTCCGCACAAAACAAAAAAAAGCCTTATATTGTAAATAAAGGTATATATCTCATAAACTAATAAATTAAAAATATGTCATTCATTACATTATGAAACTATGTGACATTAAACTTTATGAACCCAATTGACACAAAAAATTAAAAACATTAAAAATATAATCTGAGGGCTTAAAAGAAAAACACAAACACTTCAAAATGATATTAAAAATATAAATATAAATTAATTATTAAATTAAAAACGTGCATAAATATAAAAAAAATGTCATGAAAATATTGAAGAGAACACAACTCTACATGTACGAGCATATATCATGCGGATATATGAGAATATACTATATGAGTAATGTAATAAAGCATTAAATTTTCATAGCGATCATTAATTTTCATACTGCAACTGTCACATCACGTATGTGATTTATTTTAATTTGTCTTTAACAGACATTTTAACAAAAAAGGCTCTTGTGACACTCTGGGACCGCTGTTCGGTGAGTGACAGCAGGAAAGGAGCATTACCAACGAGAACACTATTTCGACCTACATTTGGTGGTAGAGAAGATGTGGTGAATTGCTGGTGAAAAATGTGTGGTTAAGGAGTTGTTAAGCAAATGCATGACACGGCATGGGTTACCACATTTTCGACCTAATTTCCCTGATTGGAATGTGTTGATGTTTTTCACTTCGATGTGCTGTCAATATGACTTCAAATAAAAATAATAACAATTCCATGTGATACACAAATACATATATACTGTTTAACATGTGATACTTGTATGGATTATGTATACATATGTGCATTTGTTGTGACTATTAGGTTATTATTTATTTATTTGAGCAAGAAATTGCGCAAGTACAGGGATGCCCACTCCTATTTCACACGTACTATAGAAGTTCAACAGTTTAATTGCAGCAATAATTTATTACATTTATCGGAATGAGTGTTATTTATGTTAGAATTTTATTGTCAGTAGTTAGTATTAATTATAATTCAAACTAATAATAATAAAATAAATTAAACAAGTTTTATTGATTATTAAAATTAGAATAAATGATTGAAGGTAACGACTTGACTTACTAAATAAGCATTACGAAGAAAGTAATAACTTTTTAATATTACTAGAGATAAAAACTACCTTTGAGGTACTAAGACACAGTTGCATGTAACTAAATCAATAATTATTATTTGAGAATAAAAAAGAGCTAATAAGAAGATTTGCTGCTTTTACATTTTATAAGATGTAAATATGTTAGGACATCATATAGTAATCATAACCAAATGATATACTGTTTTCAGACTTTGCTTTAAAAAAATTTGTACAATACATTACCAACTTGAGCAAACAATTTGAGCAGTTGACCAAGATCCTCAAGAAAGAAAGTCGCACATAGGTATGCTGGACAAGAACAAAGTAGATGGGAATGCACTTTCATCGTCCTTTCCACAACTGCGATAGGTGAGTAAACAATCTGCAAAGACTTGTGAGTAAGCCGACCACGAAACTGGGGTTTTTCTAGGGATTATCTCAATGAGAGTATTGGATTTCCTTTTAATGGAATCAGGCCAAATTGCATACAGATTCATACCTATCGTTGAGTCTTCCCATATTTTATTAAAAAGTTCAGCACAAAAAGAACTCAGAAATAGTTTGCGTGATAAGTTGTAAAAAAAATCTAAAATATTATCATGTTGAGCATTCACAAAAATAAATCTTCTCTTGAACAACACTTTCAACTATAATATAAGCCAACCTTGACTTGAATACTGCGGCTAACTTGTTATTTCACAGCTATGTGTGAATAGGAGTACTTCAAAGCTTTGTAATTGAAAGTGTTATCTATCACTTGAAAACCTGCTTTTTGAGTGTATTTCAATAATTAACACTTTCAAACTAATCCAAACAATGCAATAAAAGCTGCTTCTATTGGTTTTCCTTTGCTATAGATATGCAGTGAATGTCTCTAAAGTCAATTTCAATCTAAAAAGATATCCGATTAACGCATTTTGTCGGATTATGATATAAAAGTAGGAAGGCCCAAAGCTGATACAATAGATTAATAAAGGATATGATTAAGTATTATTTATAAAAGGAATGTCGGCTCTACTTCAGCTTAATTAGACTTTTACAAAAAAAACTGTTTTATTTTTAGCAAACTCTTGTATTTATTTTCACTCAAGCTTTTACTAAGAAATTTTATTAAAATCTTAAAAAAAAAACTGGAAATGAGATTGAATTGCTTGAAACGAAAATATCTCGTGAACTTTAAAAATACACTTCTACATTTTTAAATAAATAAAGCAAGTTAAAAAGACTATGTTTTCTTTAGAAATGGAATTATTTCTTATTTAATTTGATTTTTTTTTTTTTAATTTTTTTTTAATAAGAAATTTGTTTTCTTTACTAAAAGAAAAATTTTCTCATATTCTTAAAACAACTCAACTGCAAGGTTGCTGAAAGGATGCTGTATGAGTATTGCAAGCTTAGCAGCTTCGAAGTGTATAATTACAAAAACAAAAAGGAATAAACCGAAATATATAATAATAAAGAAGAAGAAGCGAAATAGAGGAAAGATATTCATTTTATCAATGTGCATAAGTTCTCCTTATTTAGCATAAATAAAACACGCCACTACTTTTTAATCTGATTTCGTGCTAATCTTCTCAACCTTGACACTAATTTGCATTCACATTTTTCGCAGCTTTCTTTTGAGTACTTATCCACTTTCCACTTTTCTTTATACCCATTAAGGACAACAGATTTTTTCATTTTCCACTCTTTCGGATGGGTGTTTTTCCTTCACTTTTATCCTTGCATTGTTGTGTTATCTTAGGTGAAGTTGATACTTTAAGCAACGCAGCTCAGCAAAGTGTAACTCTTTTCGCATTTGCCACCGTCAATGGCGTGTAATTCAGCACTTTGTTTGTGCTTTAAGGATAAGCCCTAAGTCCTTTGT